ACACCAAAGCACAATCCATGAAAGAAATAATAAACTGGACTTTATTAAAGTGAAAAACTTATTACAAAAGATAACATCAAGAGAATGAGAAGATTACAATGAAAGCTACAAGCTGGGAGAATATATTTACAGAATTTTCTGATACTTGATAAAGAACTGTTATCTAACATATACAAAGAACTCTTAAATTCAACAACAAGAAATACAAACTACTCAATTAAAAACTGGGCCAAAATCTCAACAGACACCTCACCATGGGTATACAGATAGGAAATAAACATACAAAAAGATGCTCTACATCATATGTCATCACGGAAATACAAATTAAAACAACAAGATACCACTACACACCTATTAGAATGGCTAAAATCTGGAACCTGATATCAAATGCTGACAAAGATGTGGAGCTACAGAAACTCATTCATTGCTGGTGGGAATGCAAAACGGCACAGTCAGTACTTTGGAAGAGAGTTAGGCAGGGTTTTTTTATAAAACTAAACACTCTTGCCAGATGATCCAGGAATTATGCTCCTTGGTACTTTCCCAAAAGCACTGACAACCTGTGTCAACACAAAACCCTACACATAGAGATGTTTCTAGCATCTTTATTCATAACTGTCAAAACTTGGAAGCAACCAAGATGTCCTTCAGTGAGTAAATGGATAAATAAACTGTGGCACATCAAACAATGGAGTATTATTCAGCACTAGAAACACATAAGATATCAAGGCATAAAAAGGGAGAAAACTTTCATGTATCTTACTAAGTGAAAGAAGCCAATTTGAAAAGGCTACATACTATATGATTCCAACTATATGACATTCCAGAAATGGAAAACTAGGGAGACAGTAAAAACAGGCTGTCAGAGAGGAGAGAAGGGAGAACACGGTGAGCACAGATAATTTTTAGAGCACCGAAAATACTCTGTATGACACTATAATGATGGACACACGTCATTATATATTTATCCAAATCCACAGAATGTACAACACCAAGAGTGAACCCTAATGTAAACCATGAGTTTTGGATAATTGTGATTTATCAATGGAGGTTCATCAGCTGTAATAAATGTCCCACTCTAGTGGCAGATGTTGATAACAGAGGAGGCTATGCATATGTGGTGACAGGGGGTATAAAAGAAATCTCTATACCTTCCCCTCAATTCTGATGTGAACCTAAAAGTGCTCTAGGAAAATAGTCCTTAAAAAAAAAAGTTGAGTAGCTACAAAAGAGACCATAAAGCCTAAGAAAAAGTTTGCCTGCCCTGGTTTAATACATTAAATGAGCAGATTAGATCAAGACACTTAGTTTCTATCTGCCCCTCAAAATCTCAGTAAGTCACCACAAAAGACAACTTAAAAATTTTATGTCCATTGTAATGTAATAAAAAGTACCATTAACAAAAATTGGGGAACTCACTGGACAGAAAAAAGTAGACTGGATTAGGATCCAGACAGAAATGCTACAGCTACAATCACTAAAAAGAAAATGCCACTGATGGGGCGCCTGGGTAGCTCAGTCGTTAAGCGTCTGCCTTCGGCTCAGGTCATGATCCCAGGGTCCTGGGATAGAGCCCCACATCCGGCTCCCTGCTCCGCGGGAAGCCTGCTTCTCCCTCTCCCACTCCCCCTGCTTGTGTTCCCTGTCTCACTGTGTCTCTCTCTGTCAAATAAATAAATAAAATCTTTAAAAAAAAGAAAAAAAGAAAAAAAGAAAACGCCACTGCAAAAATAGAAACAGTTCTTCATTTTAAAAGTCCCAGAAAAATTCTAATTTCAAAATCAATAAAATGAAAAGAAGCTTGAAAGAAACATCAATGTGATGTTTACAACAGGACCAGTCTCAGCTACTCCCCTACCGTACATATAAAGTTAAAGACAACATCAACTTCTACTCCAAGGTCATGCTCCCTGACCAATATGTAAACCAAGTCCATGCTCTGCCTCAGGGGACATGTGATCTGACCATGAGGCTGAAGCTGAAGAGAGAAGCAAAGGAGAGTCGCTAGAAACAGCACACGGGACCTAAAAAAGGTAGAAAGGTAACAACCACCATTCCAGAAATCAAAACAAATATATTCTAAAACTTAACTCTAAAAAACAAACAAAACACAAGTAAACAGTAACAAAACCACACAAGACCCCAAAAGATGTTACATGGTCAAATTCAACTAAACTCTGAAATAACAGATGACTTCCCTGTATAGCACAGAAAAAAAGACAGAAAGCTTTTCACCTCATTCTATGAAGTTATACAACCTTGATACCAAGCCAGAAAAGGATAACACATAAAAAAAGAACTAGAAGATTAATCTCATTTATGATCATAGCAAAACATATAAAAATTGAATCCAGCAGTTTATATTAAAAACCACTATAACCACTAACCACAATGACCAGGTAGGGTTTATTTTAGTAACACAAAGCCAGCACAGCATTAATAACTCTATTAATACAATTTAGCATACTAAAGGATATATACCAGTTACAGCTGACCCTTGAACAACACAGGTTTGATTTGTTGCAGGTCCATTTATATAGAGATTTTTTTCAATAAATACAGGACAGTACTATAAATGTATTTTCTCTTCCTTACAATCTCCTTAATAACATTTTATTTTCTCTAGCTTACTTTATTCTAAGAATATTATTATATTAATATCAGAAATATTATTATTAAAATATTACCACTTTATTGTAAGAATATACTATATAATACATAAAACATATATGTGTTATTCAACTGTTTCTGTTATCAGTAAGGCTTCTGGTCAAAAGTAGGCTTCTGTAGTTAAGTCTTGGAGGAGTCAAATACACACAATTTGTAATACACGGATTTTCGACCATGTTGGGGTCAGCAGCCCTAAGCGCCACGTTGTTCAAGGGTCAACTGCATAAATACTGACATACATCAAAAAAGCATTTGACAAACTTTAACACATATTCCTGATTAAAAAACAGTAACAAATTCCTAACAAGGTGAAACAGAAGAAAACTCCCTGAACTTGCTAATTACTGGCAAAATATTAAAAGCATTCATCAAAATCAAATAAAGATAAGGAAGATAAGGATGAACGCACTCCAACAACTGAATATTGTACCAAAGGGCTTAGCCAATATAAAACATGAAAAATATGTAAGATTAAAATGCTGGGAAAAGCAAAAAATAAAAATAGCATTATTTATAGATAATAAACTTTCATCTGGAAAACACAAGAAAATTAACTGAGAAATAACAGCTAATAAAAGTAATTATCAAGGGCGCCTGGGTGGCTCAGTTGGTTAAGCGACTGCCTTCGGCTCAGGTCATGATCCTGGAGTCCTTGGATCGAGTCCCGCATCGGGCTCCCTGCTCGGCAGGGAGCCTGCTTCTGCCTCTGACCCTCCCCCCCTCTCATGTGCTCTCTCTCTCTCATTCTCTCTGTCTCAAATAAATAAATAAAATCTTTAAAAAAAAAAAAAAGTAATTATCAAGTTGGTGTTATATAAAATAAGCACTTAAAACTTAGTAACTTTCCTAGAGAACTACAATAAGACTTCAACAGAAATAGGAGAAAAAGATCCCATTCAAAGGAATAAATGCTATAAAATAGCAAGTATAAATCTGAACTGGAAAAAAAGATGGAAGACCAAGCAAGGCAAATGTGAAGAAAACTTTCTTGAAGGACATTAAAAAAAGGGATGACACCCCCCCCCAACACACACACACACGGAATGAAACCCATACACATCACAGATGGAAAGATTCAATATCACAAAAAAGTCAATTCTTTCTAAATAAGATTTAGAGAAATTCCAAACACAGTCCCGTGACAGTATTTTTCCTCCTTGCTTTAGAAACTAATAATTCCAAATTCATTTGGTAAGAACTGATGTGTGGGAATTACCAAAGAAAATCTTCAAGGAGAAAAGAAAAAGAATAATGAAGGGAATTTCATACCCTCAAGATATTAAAGGTTTTCAATTTAAATACTCGAATTGAATTAGGGTAGCACATTCAGAGACAGAATCTGTAATACATTTAACAACGAAAGACCACTACAAAGTGGCTCTTAAATAAGTAACCAGTTGTTCATTAAATAATGCTATGGAGAAGAGGAGGAAGGATGTGAAAATGCAATGTGCAGAAGGGGAGACGCAGTCTAACGTGAAAAGATAAAACATAACATAAGCATCTGGGGAAAAGCAAATTGAAATGCGAAGATGTCAAAAAATTAATTAAAATAAAATGCTAAGATGTCTTTTTTTTTTTAACCTTGGCAAATTTGAAAAGCAGCAACATTAACTGTTGGCAAAAACATGAGGAAACAAGTATTGTCACATAACTGATGGGAATGTAGATTATTACAGTCTTCTTGGAATATAATCTGGTAAAAATAATTAAAATGTAAAATGAACACATGATACCTAGAACTGTAATTCCATGTTCAGAATCTATCCCATAAGTACACATACTAAGGCTCTGAAAGACTTGATACAAAGATACTCATTGCTTAATTATAAATAACAAAAATGGAAAAAACATCTCTACACATTAATGAAGCAATTTAAAATTTTGGATAAGACAATGCTTGGATCACTACACCACAATATATTAAAAAGTATTAATAAAAGTAAGTTGATATGTGCTGACACATAAATATTACCCAGAAGTCTATAATTCTAAGGAAATAGTATGATCCTATTTATACAAACAACAAAACACCACCAAATCTATAAATATATGTCTATGCAATTATCAGGGAGATATTCTCTTTGTTTGCTAATAACTACCTTCATATGCCATGTCATCACATATAGGAGGCATCTTTAATTATATTTTTCACAATTTTTCAAATTAAATACGTCACATTTCTCTCCGCAGCAACCAGTTACAGATCATGATTATCTAATTGCATAAGTACTTTAGCCAAAGCTTATATATAAGGACAGTGTGCAACTTTCTAAATCTGACATTTAAGGTCATCTTCAGCATGCTAAAAGGAGTTTAAGTGAGCTTACCGATTTCATTAATCACTGCTCTTATTTTGGAGACAAAAGGACCAACTTCACTGGGATTCATTTTGACTCTCTCCTTAAGGTCAGCACCTGCAAAGCATTTTATTTACAAATATAATCTAGTTATAAACAAGATTTTAAGGCAATGAATTGAAAATTTATTTAAGATTCATATGTAACTTGAATATCAACTGAATTTATCCATTAAAGGAATACTACTTAAGTTTTCCTTCTCAAAGACCAACATGAGGAAGAATAAAACATCTGCTTGTACAGCTACCATGTGCCTAAAGCAGTGGTTCTCAAACTGAGGTGTCTCAGGACCCCTTTACACTCTTAGAGGAAGAGACTTACTTTAGATTGTATCTACCAATATTACTCTATTAAAAACTAAAACTATTAAATTTTTAAACATTTATTAATTTAATAATACAAATGAATCCATTCCTATTAACATAAAGGACTACAGACTGATGCCACGTCCTTGGCTCCTCCAGAGATGATGGCAGTCTGACCAGCACCCCTGTGGCCGAGCAGTGCAAACGTCAACCCAGTGGGAAGGGCAAATCACTGACAATCAGTCTGACTCTGTGGATGCCCGCCGTAGGGGGCTGCAGATTTAACATCTGAGCAAACTATTTCACAAATATGAGTTTATCACAGAATCATAGATTTGGAGCAGAGAAAAGAAATTCTTAAGGGATCACTTACTCTGTGGCTCAACAAAGGCATTCTTTTTTATAAAATAAAACTGTATGAGAAAAGGCTCCCATTTATGAACAAATACAAAACAAAGTAAAATTATAGCATAGAAGGTACACACTCAGCTGCTTACTCTGTTATGAGTCCAGCATAAAGTAACTGGCACTAGACGTAATATCAAGTGCCAGCCAAGGCTGGGACATCCCGAGCCCACACATTCCTGTGGGAGTTGAGAACTGCAACTGACAGAGCACATACCCTACAATCCATCAGTTCTTAGCTATACATTCCCTAGAAAATCTCAAACAGATGCCCAAGGAATATGTAGAGTAGCATTCAATGCAACATAAAGTTGCAAAAAAAAAAAAAAAAAAAAAAAAAATCAGAAATAACCCAAAATCCATTAGAAGAATTTTAAATAAAATTAAGATATATTTATACAACAGAATATTACATGTTCAGCATGAAAATGAAGGAATTAAGGTATAAATATGGAAAAATCTAAATGCTGAAGAACATATAATTACGTATACTTATTATGCCTTAAAATATAACATCAATATGAATTTACATATTTAATAGCAATATATTATTATATTTACTGAAACATACACAGGATAATAACCATTTACACAACGTTTTTTTAAAAGAATGCTATTTAGGGGGGCAGCAGGCTGGTTCAGTCAGTGGAGCATGTGACTTTTGATCTCAGGGTTGTGAGTTCAAGCCCCACACTGGGCATATAGCTTACTAAGTAAATAAATAAATAAACAGTAAAAGAAAGCTATTTAGGGATATAAAATATGCATAGAAATGATAAATACCAAATTCAACCGGTGGTGACCTCTGCGGGAAGGGAGATGTGATTGGCAATGGTCACAGAGAACGTCAATCTTATTTGTAACACTGTGCTGCTTAAGTTAGGTGATGGGTACTCAATATATTAGTCTTTAAACATTTTTGAATACGTGATATATGTCTTCATAGTTAGTTTTTTCCATGAATAATATTTTTAGGGCCAAAAAACTCTAAGTCACTTGGATATATTTGTTAAAAGAAAAAACTGTTCAACCCTGAGAATATAATTTAAATTGAGAATATAAAATGTTGCTTAGTATACATACTGGTTCATAAAAGTAGCTAAATGAAGTGCCATATTGGGGAAGGAAACAGATGAAAGAGGAGCCAAAGCAACAAAGAGGAGAAAGCAGACGGGACACACAGGAACTCGGCATGAGGTGGTCCTGAAGGAGCCCCAGGTAACTGCATCATGGATCCATCACGTCCTCCAACCTCAGTGTGGGCTACCCCATGAGCGTGCCCTCTTACACATTAACCAGTGCTCCAAAGGGGGCTTTCACCGACATCCACTCCACGCTTTGAAATCCGCACCCAGGCTAGAGAGACTAGGTGTCGGAAGCCATGCCAGGAGCTCAGGGAATCAGGGTTTGCTCTGGACACATGCAGCCCATTCACACACACCAGTCCCAGCAGAGGTGGAAGACGTGGTGTGGCCCTAAGTGTGGTCCTAACCCACACAACTAGGTGGGACTTCATGGGAACATGGGATTCATGGTTTATTTTAGAAATAATTACTTTTCGGGGCGCCTGGGTGGCTCAGTTGGTTAAGCGACTGCCTTCGGCTCAGGTCATGATCCTGGAGTCCCGGGATCGAGTCCCGCATCGGGCTCCCTGCTCAGTGGAGAGCCTGCTTCTGCCTCTCTCTCTGCCTGTCTCTCTGCCCACTTGTGCTTTCTCTCTGTGTGTCAAATAAATAAATAAAATCTTTAAAAAAAAAAAAAAAAAGAAATAATTACTTTTCTCCATGGAATGTTAAACATTTGTGACCTTGAGACTACATTTAAAAAAAAATTTTTTTTTAAAGATTTTATTTATTTGAGACAGAGAGAACGAGAGAGAGAGCACATGAGAGTGGGGAGGGTCAGAGGGAGAAGCAGACTCCCCGCTGAGCAGGGAGCCCGATGCGGGACTCGATCCCGGGACTCCAGGATCATGACCTGAGCCGAAGGCAGTCGCTTAACCAACTGAGCCACCCAGGCGCCCTACATTTTAAAATTTTTAATACCCTTTTTGTTTTTACTTTAGAAACATACCGCACAATCTTGAACATTCAGAACCTAAAAGTACAGTTTCGCCTCTGTCCCTCCAGATTACAAATTTCTTATTTGATAATATCACAGTTTTATTTGAGGTCGGGCATGTTTCTTTTACTTTTTAAATCCCCTACGTCCATGCCCGCTCACTTTGGCGGAGCGAGCCTTTATGCTACCAGGCAATCCTACAGTATCTCCCTGCTCCGTTCACCCTTACACTCAACTACAGACCATTTCCTAACTCCTCTCTCTCCTTAAGCCTCAAACCTCCCACCCAAACCTGACACCAACTAAGAAAACAGATGCATTCAGAAAAAAAATTTCACCAACACCCACCACCAAATCTACCTACCCACCAGGTTTAAACTCTTACACTCTGCCCTCCCTCCTGTTACTTCAGGTGAACTAACTCATGACCAAAACCAACTGACGCACTAAATTCCACCCCTTCTTCTCTCTTCAGGACCACCACTCTAGCAATTACCCCTTGCCTGGCTGGCATCGTCAACAGTATCCCTCTTTCAAGAACCATTCCCATCAGCTATAGTAACACTGTAATACTGCTCACCTTAAAAAAGAAAAGGCAATTATGTGGACTTTCACTGCCAGCTCTAATAGAAGAGATTATCAGACCAATTCTTTCACGAAACCCTAGATAAAAAACATAAGACACCTAGTTTGAGGACAATGGAGAACAGCTAAGACAGTCAGAATGTATGACAACGTCAAGACAAATGTAAGTTTCTGAACAGTCTCACAGAAATGGGAAAAAAATTGCAGCTCAGGGCTTGCCAAAGAGGAACACCACAGGCTTTTGTTCAGGACCTCTGAAGGTTAAAGATAAAACAGGATAAACACAAAGAAAACCATGCCAAGACCACCGGCTAAAAGAGTGACTGACAGCTGACTTCTCAACAGAAAGTGGATGACAGCTCTAAACTGGGAAAAGAAAGTAACAACCCATCTAGAATTTTAAACTAAGCAAACCTATCCTTCGAAAATGATGGTGAAATGACTTTTTACACACACACACACACACACACACGAGGTTTGTCACCAACAGGCCCACACCAAAAGAGACACCACAGGGAATTCTTCAGGCAGCAGATTATGAGAGTAGAGTTTACTGCTTATGAGAGATGCCTTAAAAGATAAGGGCACAGAATAGCTACAGTAAAAGGGTAAAAACCACACAAACACTAACCAAAAGGAAACTTGTGAAGTCATCCCACATCTGACAAAGGAGATCTCAGGCAAACAATAATCACTCCAGCTAGAGGGTCTTTTTATAATAACAAATATGATGGTCCACTAAAAGTCATAGGAATTCTAAACTGGCATATATAAAATAAGACAGCCCCAAAATATATAAAACTGATGAACCAAAAAGAAAAACTGACAAATCTACAACCGCAGTGGATTTTAACAAAACTCCCACAGTAACCAACAAAGCAAGCAAGCAAATATCCTTATTAAGTATTCCTACTAAGAAATAGGAGATAGAAAAAAATTAACCCCCAAAGTAGAAAAAATAGTAAAAACTGGAACAAAATTTTTTAAAAAAATAGAAAACACATGTTCAGGAAAAAAAAAAAAATCAAAGAAGTTGCTTATTTGAAAAAATACTAAAACAAATGATAGTCTTTGGCAAGACTGATCATGGAAAAAATCAAAGAAGGCACAAATCCTAACAGTAAGAATGAAAAGGAGGATAATACTATAGATTTTACACAGATTAAAACAAGAAGAGATTATTAACAACCATGGCCCTATACATTTGAAAAGGACATGAAATGGATACATTTCAAGAAAAACAAAACTTATTAAAAATGACACAGAGAAAATCTGAAAACACAAACACACATGAAAGAAAGTGAATACATTAATTTAAAACCTTTCTAAAAAGGGAACTACATGCCCATGTAGCTCCAATAGTAAAATTTTCCAAACATATAATGAAAAAAATTGGGGGGGGGAGGGCGCCTGGCTGGCTCAGTGGGTAGAGCACTCTTAATCTCGGGGTTGTCATTTTGAGCCCACGCTGTGTACAGAGATTACTTAAAAAAAACAAAATCTTAAAAAAAACTAACATCAATCTTACACTTACATGGAGAACTGCAAAACAAAAACTTGATGAAGAACATTTTAAGAAAAAAACGCGACAGGCTAATCTTTCTGATAAACATAGTCTCAAAAAATCCTAAACAAAATATTAGTAAATCATACATAGTGGTAACGTAAATAAAATATAATATATCAAGACCTAGTTACATT